CATGTTTTGTCTATTGCCGGCAGCGCCGGGCAGCGGAGTGGATGCGGACTTGTTTCATTGCACAATTCACGTTCGCCGGTTTTCACGATGTCTGGTTGATGCCCGTGGCGTGCCGTGCGGAAGCGGGTCAGTCCGTCATTGCTTTAGTGCTAAAAGCCGCATGTGGGGCAGCGAAACTCCACCAGTGGTGATCCCATCGGGGTCTCGTCGGCGGGCGAATTGTGTTTGGCACCCGTTCCCGCGCGCCGCCAGCCGCCAACAATTCCCCCGCCCCCAAAGCAGTAAACCGCTCCATCCATGCATAGACGCGTCTGTCGCCAACATGGCAGGAGCTGGCGAGGCTGCCCCAAGGCAAAAGAGCTCCTTCTCCGGCAATTTGCGGGGCCGCTCGTGCCGCAGTTTCGGTGTGTATGGCGGCATGTCTGCGGGATCGTGAGGACACGACAGTCGGGGATGCAATATGTTGAAAAAACAAGAGCTAATGTCAAAAGAGAGAATCCCCCGCACCACCGCGCAGCATCATACGGGGACCACACCATCCACACCCTCAGCTGCATGCTTTGGGAGAAACGCGGCCTCCCTCAATCCTCGTATTCGCATCGTGCTTCAAGGCGGCGCTCGTCGTCTCACGGCTGAAGGATACACCAATAGATTCACATCTCTTGACAGGGGCCCCGCTGAACCACGCTCCTCCGCAGCCCACTGGTTCGGACACCCCAAATCCAAACAGAAGTCTCCTTGCCACGCGCGGCACCACAGACTGCGGTCTTACCATCTCGGTGTCTTCCGCCAAGACCCTCGCGGCGGTGCGGGGAACTTCCGGACAACACTCGTGGCCCGTGTGGGGCGAGTCAATTCCACAAGATCCACAAATCCCACTCGACAGCCGAAACTCGCCCGTGCACATCCGCCAAAAAAGCCACCTGTAAAAAGACGCATCCACATCCAGTAAAGCGGCGGTCTCGTCCCACAATGCGCTAAGATACTGTGAAATGTGAAATGGCAGAGCAAACGTTACCTCAGCGTCCTCATGGGCGTTCCGTGCCTTTGGCCATGCGATGGACCGCCGTCTCTGTCCTGACGGCTTGTCCAGCACCGCCGCAAAAGGCACCGCCGGCCCACCCCGCGACGGTCACTTCCAACGCTTCACAAATACTACCTGCCTTTCTCAAAAGCAGCGCATGCTGTGCGGAGATCCCCAAATTCATTTCTTTCCCATCGCTCGTCGAGGTGACGGACCGTAACACAGTGTCCTTCCACAAATCGTCAACACAGCCGCGTGCCGTTGAATTCGTCCGCCATCGGATCCACTTCAGGGAGTAAAAGTGCACAGGCCCACTCGTCGCCGGGGCAACCAATCCTCCTTCTCCTCCCGCAACGCAACCCGACGGCTATGGGTGCGCCAAACGATGCTGTGGCCCTCAGGAAAGATGGTCGTGTGCCGTCCCTCCCCGGCGACAATTGTGCCCACAGCACCGTCGCCCGGCGCACCAACTCGTTTCCAGCAAAGATAACAGCTGCGCCGACGTCTTGGTGAGGTGTCCCACGGCATCACCACGAGCGCGGCGTTGAGAGGAACCCATGCCGCGCGGTCACACCCGGAAATTGATGATGATTCCCCACCTGTGCCGGCCCAGAAGGCATTGCTTCCGGAGCCGAAAGTCCCTTTTTTTGTGTGTGTGGTTCTACTTCCGCAGCTTCACTCGGCACGTCGTGTTGTATTTTCCAATCCGACCACATTTGCGGCATCGTGCTTCATTGGGCGGGGATGCGGCATGCTCTTTGTTTGCTCTCGGAACCTCCTGGGGGAATGGGCGGTCCCATTTCTGGGCATTTCCACAGCACCCTGGATGTCCTCGACCCGCACTCCAGCATCGTTATTCACTGTCCCGAGGATCCATTTGACTGAGTGTACGCAGTCGCCCTGCCAACCGGCAAGATTCCATAAGCATCTCTCCCCCGCGAGTGGCGCACGCCCAGGACACACCGTTCCCCTCACGGCTGTCTGCATGCCGGGACCTGGCGCAGCCGGCGTCGGAAAGGTGACCCAAGACGCATCCAGGAGCTGTGGCCAGGCGTTGCGCACATCATGCATTCCAATACGCCGTCAAATGGTGCGACTGCAATCCTCCGGACAAATCCCTGCCTCCCACGGATTCCCCACTTGGTCCCCCGTGGGCCCCGTGGGCCGAGTAACAGCTCTAATCCCTCTGGCACTTCATGAATTTGCAGGATATTTCAGTTGTCTCGGCCGTATGGGACGCACTCCAACTTCCCGTGGCAGAAGCGGTGGAGAATCGTGACGGGCCTGGCTGAGTGCTGATGGTCGCCAGTTTGTCGTCCCATTTACGGCTATGAGCAACTCCTGCAACGGCGCCAATCGAATCCGCACCGCCTGGAACTGCGCGTGGGCGTTTGAGCTGCATTTCAGTATTTTTGCTCCTCCAACCAAGCACAAGCGCACTCATATGGGCGCTGCAGCGCCAACTGCCTTCCCTCAGGTGCCGCGCAATTGATCCAAACAGTGGTGTGCTTCTTCCTCTTCAGAGAGGCTCGAATGGACTCAGGGTTCCTCGGCATGGTGGTGACAGCGACAGAGTGTCGCAACGAGGTGCAATTCATCCCTTTCTCCTGGAACCGCCTTGCAACGAATTCGCCGCCCGCTAATGGTGAGAACGCCGCCCACGTGGTGGCTCAATGGCGGGCTAGTCGCTGGGCAAAGACAAAGTGTCGTTGGACCGCACAACCTCAGAATGTGGTTGTGAGCGTGTCTGTCTCGTGGACACCGTCCGAGCCATGAATCCACCCATAAATTCCTCCCTCAATAAATATTCTTTGCGCTAGGCTTCACAAGAATAGATAGGAGAGAATAATCGCCTGGGCCGCTGCACGAATCCTAAAATTATCTAAAGAAATCAAGCAAAAGAGGGAAAAGGGGTAAATGGAGAGGCAGCAGATTCGCCACATCCTCAATGCTTGCTCCAATTAAATACATGTATATTCGGGAAGCCACTCTCCTGACACGGTGCGGTCTATTCAGATGGATGATGTTTATTCATTACGAAGTGGAAAAATTTGTGCTCTTCCAACCACAAGACCCCGCCGAAAGTTAGGAATCAAAAGAGGATGAGTGAGAAAGTAAAAAAAAAAAAAAGCATTCGTCTTGCCGTTATCGGTTCCTCGACTCCTTCCATCGCGGTGTTGCAGAGCATTCGAAAGATGGGCAATGAACGTAAATAAATATATTCGCCTTTCATGGAGGATATATTAATTTGGGCAACCAACCTCCCTCGCGTTCATCCTCTTCACAAGCTCCCAGAAGAAGACATTATTATTGCGTTTTCCTCTAGACACACCTCCGTTCACACCATTCCTCTCGCAACCATTAAAAAATAAAAATAAAAAAAACCCGGAAAATGACAAAAAAATTCAAAAGAAAAAAAAATAATACGCTCCAACAGTACAAATGGCTTCTTTTCTATAAATGCTGCTCCACACACGCACTGTTTCTTTTGCGTTCTTGACGCACGATCCGGTTCAATTTGGAAAAATACTAATTTGACCTAAAGTAAATAGCAGAGAAAAAACAGAGACCGCTCAGGGCCGCACACACATGTATATATATATATATATATATTACTATCAAAGCATCTCATTTCAATTGGGGATAAATGTACCCGTAAGGAATTAAAAATGATTAAACAAAACAAATTAACAGTACTGACCAACAAATGGCACATTCCCAATTGAACGATTACAACACGCGTTTTTTGTTGTTGTTGTTTTTTCACAAAATAATTAACACATTGACATAAAAATAAGAACCAGCATAATCAATGGAATCGGGGGAAAAGCTGACAACAAACTGCTCACGTCTCCACCTCCATTAATTGTATCGAAGACAATACATACATCGTCGTACTTTGGACACAAAATCCTCCCTCCCGTGAACAGCCCAGCTGGTGTAATACTGCTGCCCTCCGGGCATTTGTGCCACGTATCATCTCCAAGGTACCGCACGCTCACCTCGCCCTTGTCACACGACACCTCAGCGCAGACGTCACCAACAGGACCCATGAAATCGGCAAGTCCATCCCCCTTTAGGCACTTTGATCTCGGGCCAACGCGGCTCCCACGCATAACGGTTGCGTCCCCATTACTGCACCTAGTTTTGATATTCGGTCGAATGTAAGGGCAGAAGTCCATTAGAAAATCGGGAACACCGCCAAG